AACTTCCTAGATTAAACGCAATATATATAACAATTATATAGTAAATTTTTCTCTATAAGCAAGTATAACTTTTGGTGGTAAGTGGAGGGTATGTAATTATTAAAATTATTATAACGCAACTCAGCATTCCCTCTAAATACAGTGTAGGTAAATTCGCACGAAACTATTGGCCAGCATTAAATGATATAACATTTAAATTCTGAAAATATTCAGCTCAAATAAAATAATAAACTTTCCGTACGTTGAAAAAATAAATCTTTCTGCTTTTTTGAGTACTACAATGACCACTTGCTATAATCAAAGCCAAATTTGAACTGTTAAAGTGGCGCCTCCTATTATGTCCATATACGACATTAATATTACAAAATGGGGAAATCACAAAGGAAGAAACATTACTCTATCTTTTAGAAGAAATCAATATAAATAAAAATATCTTATCCTTGTTAAACAGCCTGGCTGAAACCCCAATTTGATTTATTCTTCATACAAAATGCTAATTTGAAGTTAAGGGTAAGTCAGACGATTACTATATTGTGTGCAATTAAACTATAAAGTCTCTAGGTACCAACTAGCCTACAGCTATCCTCACTCGATTTGAAACAGGATCCGCGACCATCCTGCAAGCTTTCAAGAAAGATAGGCGAATTATTGAAGAAATGAAGTGCCAAGACCATGTAGAAACAAACAATGACGCTTTCCTCGATCGTGCCTTCTTTTGGAGAATCTTCTGACACCCTCTGCAGATTAGGTTGTTATGAGATTTTGCGTTTATGTGGTAGTGTGTATGTAGGGGAGACTTGTCTACCCTTACATAAGAGGCTATCAGAACACAGAACTTCCTGAAAAGGTGTATCGGTTCATTAATCGGAAGTGGTCTAACATGTGGTCGTTATAGGACATCAGATAAAGTGGTCTAAATCCCAACGTTTTGTCGGATATGGGCACTTTACAGCTAAACGGAAGATCAGAGAGTCAGTTGAAGTTAATAAAGCAGAGAACATCCTGAATAAGAGGAAAGAATCTAGGAAGCTAAGTAAGAACTATATCTGGCTTGTAAATAGGATGAGATAGAGAGAGAAAGAAAGGGAGCAGAAAGAGCCACTGAGTAAGAGGAGAAGACTAGACTAAGCTGGATCTTGTTTTTCAACTTAAAATTGTCAACTAACTCGCGATTTTTGCATACACGCACAAACACGCATCCACGAAGCTGTGACAAGACCCAGGACTACTGGATCATACTCTAGTTTATTTACATTGACAAAAGTTGTGACCAGATCCGCTGCCCTGCCTGTATCACTTAAACCCACTTACATGCAGCAAACCAAATCATGGAATGCCTCATTAAGATCGCAAAGTGATGTATAAGAAGTAAGTCGGATCTCAGCTGATCATCCTTTCTCGGTTTAGTATTTTTGGGTGATTTTTCGTCAATAATGGTTTCTGGCTCTGACGATGTCTGTTACAGGATGGACGACAGCTCAGCACGGAGTTATTGGGACCGTAAGACGGTGAGCCGAGGTCTTATTCGAGCAATTCAACAGACAAAAGTGCAAGACAACCCTCCTGCTGTATCCGGTGAGGCCAATCCACGATTTTTTATAACTAGCCTTCTCAAACGAAATGAAAGATATGTCAGTATCAAAAATCTATTAAATCGAAACCCAAATAAAACTTAATTTGTTGAGGAGACCTTCATTTCGAATGTAAGCATATGATTAACCTCTTTCTATCTTCAACTTCTTTTGATTAAGGCGGAAACTAAACATGATGAATAATTAGTTATTATATTGTCTCCGATAACTATTGGTATGTCATACTTAATAACTTTAGTGTACCGCTATCTCACATTTGTGTAACAGCCAAGAATCTCGCTTCCCTGTTATCTTCTTGCAACTAGGGCGGCATAATTAAACGCCGTGAATAGGTTAATGTCGACGAAAAGAAAACTGACTACTGACCATCTTTTATTGCTAACTCATGAACGGATCAGTTCAACCTACCTCGAAAACCTTTCTAATTGTATGCAAAGTAATAAATAGCTTAGATTTAAATTATCATATTACCTTACTGCTTGATTTATCTTCGCTTATCGTTGGTCAAACGCTTAGCTTGGCCAAAAGGCCAAAATAAATTCGGATCCACTTTGTCCTGACCAAGATCAGATATAACCTAAAATAAAGCCTTTGTTAATAATTTGCGACTGAACTCTGTTTGCCTTTAGGCTCTTTTGGATAAAGGCTCGTAGCATTGCATATGGGTCAAGACTAAGGATTGTAATTAAAGAAGCACTTAAATTAATAAACCCTAATGCCTCTCCACTAAATGATCCGTCGCTTCAATAGAGAGCTAATTTACATTTGCTATACATTATTCAGGAGCTAATATATTTGATTAGTATTAGATAAATAAGTAAGCGGCTTCCTTCAAAATATAACGCAAAAGTTGGTTTAACATTTTGAAAGCTAAAAGCCCTTAGTGGTATGGAGAATACCATTTAATTGGGCTCAATAACATTATTTTCTTTGTCTAAGTGATGCTCATTTCTCTATATACGAGGAAAAATGAATGTATATACATGAATGGAGAAGTCCCGAATTGCAGGTTATAAATAAGTAAATAAAGGGGCAAGAATGCTAATGCAGCTGTAACAAGACAAAGGATAAGTGATTCTGAGGCTTCAGATGCAAAAGTTGGATTTTTCACCCAGTAAAACGGAATGGAGTAACCGACTGTATTGGCTAAAATCTATAGTTAGCCTTCGACATTTTATGTCTTGAGGTAGCTCTATTAATAATGATTATAAAATATTGCAATAAAACACTTCAACCCCCTCATTGTACCCCAAATGAGGGCCTATTTTATAATGCTTTTCAAACTTGCATCATATATGAAAATGAATTTTATATAAGTAGGCTAATATTTACCTTTGCCAATGCATCTTTCGTTTATGGCTACGAAGAGGTTTAACTTTATCAAGGACACCTTTTGCACATGCACATAAGAAGTCGTTCGGTATTGCCCTTTTACACAAATGTGGCTAGACTCCTTTCCTTTTCTGTTTCATCAATTAGTGTTTCGTGAAATAGTTCCAAGGCATAATATATAAGACAGCATTATAAAAGTCCTGATTTAATCGTGACTGTATGAAAGTAGATATTCCACTCTCCCATGTAATATGATAATTGTGAACTAATTTGTCAATAAAGAGGCAACAAATTTAGAGCTATCTGGAAACAAGGAATGTTTAGGAATATTTTCTTTTATCCTTTGCGACGAAACAATTATCACCTTGAAACCATAATTTGAATAAAAACATACGAATATGATGTCTCGATGTATGATTAATTTAAAACCCTATAGTTAGCTAGGCATGATCCCTCCTTGAAAACAGCTCAAATAAATCAGGTGATGCTAAAAAGTGGAAAGATGGTGGTAAGGCAGGAAGTGTTATTAGGTCCAAACAAAATCAAATTAATTAGAATCACCCCTGGGTTACGTTTCCTGTATTTTATACTATGAACTTGAGTAGCCTGGTGGCGGCGAGAGAGGGAATCTAGGTTTCAAGATCAACGGGTACCTTAGATTCTGCTGGTGTGCTGATATTTTATGATTCACAAGCACAATTTTTCTTTATTTATTGATGCGTTACGCCGATGGCAGGCCATATCATTGTGCATATAATTCCAGTTTATTTATGGATAGTCTTCAAAGAGTGGATCTCTGTCTCTAGAAGGATTTGAATGTTCTTGTAGGTGATGAGCAGTTCAAAGTTGCCCATCATTTAGTCTATAGATAGGAAGAGCATGAGTAAAGCACAATAAATAGTATAAAAACTGGTTCAATAGAAACATATCTCTTCCACCTCGTAAAAGTATCAGTTGCGAAAGTTTTCTAGCAAAAATAGTTGGAAATTGACCCAAGGCCTATTTTTGATTCGCCCTAATCTGCTGAATCGCAGACGCATTTAGAACTCTCAAGAGGCTATTTTTATGGCAAACATTTAACGAAAGTCTTGTAAGCTAGGAATTTTTATGAGGACTATCCTGAGCAAATGCCTGAAAATATTCATTAGGAGGGAATTAGATAGTCCTCGGAAAAGTGTTCGGTGATCAATTTGTCATACAACCTTTCCTAATTAGGCCAGGAAAAAGGCTGTAGCATCATCGATACTTTTTTAATCTGACTTGCTTCCAGATGAATTGCCCAGTGGTGTTTGTGAACAATTTGGACTAGTTGGTCTAAAGAAAAACTACCCTTATTCCTCAGAGTATTGCAACCAGAAGCAGGTAATATCTGTGCCTGTCGAGCTCAAGAATGGCATTGGAAATAAGGGGTTCCCCATTGATCAAAATGTATAGATGCGTTCGTGATTTCCAAACACCTTCTTCCTCGACAAATCCAGGCCATCTCGAAAACGTGATATGAGTGATGAGAATCTGTATGAAAATTTCATCTAAAATGTTTTTTATCAGATCTTCTACCAGGCCAGCAATGCACTTGAACTTTGCTTAAGGATGAATAGAACGAAGCTCTTCGTGAAATATAAGGTATTTAAAGTAGTTA